CAAAGCTCTCTGTCTACCGGGCCATTTTCGTTCCTACCCTCACCTATGGTCATGAAGGATGGGTCATGACCGAAAGAACGAGATCGCGGATACAAGCGGCCGAGATGGGTTTTCTCCTCAGGGTGGCTGGTGTCTCCCTTAGGGATAAGGTGAGAAGTTCGGTCATCCGGGAGGGACTCGGAGTTGAACCGCTCCTGCTTCGCGTCGAAAGGAGCCAGTTGAGGTGGTTCGGGCACCTAGTTAGGATGCCACCTGGGCGCCTCCCTAGGGAGGTGTTCCAGGCACGTCCAGCTGGGAAGAGACCAAGGGGTAGACTTAGGTCCAGGTGGAGGGATTATATCTCTTCGCTGGCCTGGGAGCGCCTTGGGATCCCCCAGTCAGAGCTGGTTGATGTAGCCAGGGAAAAGAAAGTTTGGGGCTCTCTGCTGGAACTGCTACCCCCGCGACCCGACCACGGATAAGCGGGAGAAGATGGATGGATGGATGGATAAATCTATTCTAGTACACGTTAGTTTAGCTGCTATAGGCTTAGACTGTCGGGGGACACCTTACTTCTTCCTTCTGTCTGTCTGTACCTGTGTACTCTCATGTTCCGAATAACCCAGCTTCCCCCAAATTTCTTTTTGGTGTCTATCTACGCCGGGATTTTGCGTCATGGCTGATCCTGTTACTGTGGTCCTGTGTCCTGGATCTATCCTGAGTTCTGGATTTGAATCCTGGACTTCGAGTCGTGGCTGAACCTATCACTGTGGTCCTGCCTGACTCTCATTATACTACTTCCCTGATGGCTCCCACCGGATTGTTGACATCCTCGTGGATTGATCTTCTTATTATAGACACATGCATTTCCAAACATTTGGTCTACTGTAAAATGTATTATCTGTTAGATTTACACACGGCATCTATTGCACATCTGTCCGTCCTGGGAGAGGGATCCCTCCTCTGTTGCCCTCCCTGAGGTTTCTCCCATTTTTCTCTTTAAACTGTGGGTTTTTTCTCTGGAAATGTTTCCTTGTACGATGTGAGGGTCTAAGAACAGAGGGTGTTGTATTGTCATACTGATATTCTGTACAAACTGTGAAGACCACTGAGACAAATGTAACATTTATGATATTGGGTTATATAAACACAGCAGGCACTAGCACACCATCAAGTCCAAAAGGGAATAGGATGCAGATTCTTTCAATCTTTAGTCATGAAGAACATTTTAAAGTATAATGTGATGGTGAGTCAAAAAGTAAAGCTATGTAGATGCAAGGTTTTTGAGAATTACAATATGCAAATGTTCAACCAGCTGTTTTCACTTTTTAAAGAGTCTGCCTCAAGGGAACAAAGTCAGCACATCAAAGCTTTACCACCCCTAATAATGTCCATATTTAGTCCCACCCATGGTCAGCGGCAGTTCTTTGTTCATTCCTCAAACATTACGAAGCACTCTCAACTACTTTGTGTACAAGCTGCACTACTACAGCTTGCTGTCCTCAAAATCCCAAACTTTTACTTTGACAATCAAATATGTTTCCACATTCTTACAGAACTAAAAGATGTGAAACAGCTGGTGCCATCACTACTACTGCAACCCCACCATGTTCCTTTCCATGCAGCCCTAAGCTGCCAGCCGGGTTACGTAAAGTGTTTTCATATGAAACACATTTTGGTGAAGTCAGTGGAATGTCCAGTCAATGTTCCAAATTAAATCTTGTGTCATAAGGGAAGTCTACGGATCTGCGAAAACAATCCTTTTACTTCTGAAATTACTTTGGTCCAAACTGTGCCAGAGGCAGCTGTCCACACCTCAGTTATAGATACTCCTGAACAATGTGAGAACACATAGAAGAAGAAAAGGTGATCAATACATTTATGTTATTTTATTCATTTAAAAAGTAGTGACATATTTCCTTATTTTTATGATGTATTTTTCAATCAGCATGACGATTAACTGCCTTTAACTCACTAATTATTTGGAGCATTTAGAAGAAAATAAAAAATGTCCTCTTACAATAGGGGGCCTCTCTGTGCCAGATCACATTTCTGAGTTCAACAGTCTGAGTCACAAAGAAGCAAGTTTAGTTACTTCCTGTAATCCTAAACTGCCTGTACTCAGACCCCACAGTTTGTTGATCTAACAAAACACCGACAAGTCTGCCGCACATGGTTAGCTGTTTTTATTTTGCTACACACAATGGGTGTACCTCAGGTCAACTCTGTACACTGCTGCCAGATGGACAGTCATTGGGTGGTGTGCTGTTGACTGAGCAGCTGGATGTTTGACAGGAGTATCAGAGACTTTCCCTCCGCACTGCTGGCATCTAACACACAATAAACCTCAACCAAAGTCTTGATTCTGGCTCATTAGCTTGTTTTGATCTCATATAATTTCCTCTAACCTTATTCTAATCTTCAATCTAATCTAATTTTCCTAATTTAATCTAATCTGATATCTCCTCTTATTCTCACATCAGAGTGAAAATAAGAGTTGGTGTAACGTCATCCAATCTCATCCCATATTATCTGATCTAATCTCTAATCTCATGTTATCTGAGCCTAACTCATTTCATTTGATGTAATCTCATCTCTATTGTATTGTCTCATCTCAAATGTACTGTAATGTAATGTAGTCCCATTAAATCCTATTTCTAATTTAGTGTAATATGAAATTGTATGTGATGCCGCATGTAATCTCTAGATTAAAGATGAAAAGTTAATACTATCTCATTTCAATCACATTTTCCAGTTTCATGTTGTTTCATTTTATCTCAACATTTTATCTTATCCGATCTTATTGAAAGGGCCCTATTATGCTCATTTAAGGTACATATTTGTTTTTGTGTCTCTTCTCTGACATGTTTACATGCTTTAATGTTCAAAAAGTTTTTTATTTTTTCTCATACTGCCTGTGCTGCTCTGATTGGTTAGCTGGCCGGCTCAGTTGTAATTGGTCAACCGCTTAAAGATGTCCCACGCCTGAGCCTATCATGTACACTTTGTTGGAGTGCTAGCCAATAGAAGGAGTGTTACATAGTGATGTCACAATGTTTCAGGCAGTAAAGCTGTTTTATCCCATCTCCTTACATTTTTTAAATAGGGTAATATAATGTAATCTCATGTCATGTTCACATCTCCTCTCTAATCTCCTTTAAAATCAATTTTAGATTAATGTAATCTCATGTCTAACCTGATCTCAAAAGTATTCCTGGTGCATTATAAAGCTGTTTCATTTAATTTAGAAAATACAGAAGCAGAAGAAAAATGTTTCTACAAATCATGCTCGCGTTTAACTCATTACAGGAAGGCTACGCAGAGAAAACGATGTGTTGTTGTTCGGGGTCAACACAGATGCTACTAACTAACCAGAATACAAAACACGTTCTTAATCTGATTTAAGATTATTTGCTGTTTACGCCAAAATATTCTGATAAAAATCAGCCCAAGACCATCTCTGGTAAGTAATTGATTCCACATGGGATTCAATGAAATACCTCCATATGTTGAGTCACTTGCTGGTAATTATGTGAGGAAGACAAATCCACTCTGATCGGGTTGGTTTCTGGCACTTAGTCAAGGTAAAAAAGAGGATTTTTCAGGAGTTAGTCAGACTCGCTGGAAGCGTGATGTATGTCTAACGTTAGTACTTAGGAAAAAAAGTGGGGTATTACGTGTGCAAAGTTTGATTTCATCTAGTCACACCAGCAACATCCAACTGAACATTTCTCACTCATCAAACTTTATCAAAGGGTCATCATCATGCAACCGAGACAATGTCTGTGCTTTTTATTCGTGTCCCTCTCTACTTCCTCTTGTGTGTCTCTAGCTGCTAAACATAGAACCATTACACAAAACCATCATGGCAATGATGCAATAATAAAAATTACTTTTGGCCTAAAATAGGCAATTAGAAAGCCTGATGTCTTAAACCACGAGTCCTTGGTTCAACTTTATGTCTGTCTGTATTTGGCAAATGGAGCAATGCAGTTTCATTGTGATGGGATTTTCATCATGCTAGACTTTTTAAAAGAAGATAATGTGACATTCTCTCTCTAGTAAATAATTTGATCTTGTACTCGCCTACTAATAGAACTAACCAGCATACATATGTAATTAATTAATTTCTGCCACCCCTTTTCCATATGATGTGATCTAAACTGTTTTTCAAATGTTTGTTTCACATTTCTGCAAATGCACATACACGCAACATCTTACAACAGTATTATTACACAAATAAATTATGATTAACCAGGCAGTTGCTAGAAGACTATTTAACTTTTTGTAAAAATCTGCTCCAATTCAGCTTGGTCCAGTCAGCAGAAAAACATGTGAAACTGCATTTCCCTCCTGTTTTGAATCCTTGTTTGAACTGTGTAGTCCACAGTGTTTATAGTGTAAACACACGGCATCTGTTTTTAACAGGGACTATAGTCTGAAGCAACCTCAAACTGAGGTCTTCGGATAAATGAACAGGGGAAACCCATAAGAGTGCAGCAGCCCTTAAAAGGCTCCTGACTTAACATATTTACATTCAGTACTTAATTACCCAGAATAACCTGTGACGGTACTGGCAGCCGAGCAGTTAAATTAAGAGAAATCCTGACTGCCGAGCTACTATGCCACATACTTTCCTCAGAAAAGGAATGCTGCTGAAAGTCATACAGAGGGAGGAGGGGGTCGCTGTTTTTTCTCAGTCAATGCACATTTTTGAATACCTTGTAGAGTAGACTTGACCATAAAGGAGTTTACTCACAGGGGAGGGTCAGCAGCACTCAGGGAGTTTGACTTCCTTTTAAAACCCTTTCTCTTGTAGCAAATGAGCTGACTTCGTACAGATACGTTTTGTAAAGTAAGCAAAAGCAGTAGCCAGCTAATATCTATCTTCTATTTCTGGCTTCCCCCCATAGCCCCCCACCCCCTTCCCAGACTGACGTCAGCAGAAAGTTATTTTCATGAATGGAGGGGGCGGTCACGAGGAATCGGTGACGTGAGTGCTTGCGGAAGCAGAGCGTGGAATGTTGGTACATTGTTGTTGTTTTGTAGTTAATTCAGTACGAGGATCCTCGGCTGGCTGGACGCTCTATCCCCGCTGTGTCAACTCAGTCCTCCGCCTCCATCCGAAACCCGCTCCGCCACTTTTTACTCATCACGGTCCACAGATATCTGCGTCCACTGAGGTGAGTTTATGTTTTTTTCCCTTAGTAAGATGTTTTGAAGTCACTTTTTTTTAAATTGCTGAAGTTTTCCCGGTGACATATTGGAGCACGCAGACAGGATTATGATGGCCACACGCGCCCGTCACGTAGGATACGTTTATGTTATGAAAGTTGATGTTGACTTAGATTGTTTCAGGCGCGTGGACACGTGTTGTAGAGTAACATAACACAATGCCCCATAGGTCTCAGAGATCCGTGTAGTCGCGTGGAAGAGCTAAATTGGGAAAATACGTTTAAAAACATAACATAAGAAAATCATAATAAGAGTTGAAACAATTGCTTATTTTGTTGCTTCCGTGTGTGACTTTTATGTGCCGAGTTTTTATCTGAATCAGCCTGGTAGGCCTACACACTACATTAAAAAGAAGTCAAATGGATTAATTAACTAAATTAGTGAAACTGTGTAGGGCACCCTTTTATACAAATTAAACAACAAATAACTGAAGCATGCACGGAAAACGTTTTTTTAACCGTTTTAAAAATATTAATATTAATCATTTCATATAAATAAATCTGACTTTAATTTCCCGAGGTAAATTAATGTTACAGTTACAACGGTAGCCTTATGTGTTAGAGTCAGGCTACTGTTTACAAAACGCTCTTTTAAAAAAAAGAAGTGATTTTTGTTTGTTTATTTATGTCATACATAGCCTACAAGTCACTCGATTGAGATTTCGTTTTGCGAAAGGAAGTGAAATGTACTGTTGCTTTTATACTTGTTCATATAAAACACTCACACCCCTTTTTCAATTCTGCTACTCTTGCTCATTTCAACGGGGGTTTAATTTAGACTGCTATAGTGCAACATACCAGCCTACTTTTGACATTGGAAACAACACGTGGTCTGCATTTTAGACATGTGGGACAAAGGGCACGATGAGGAGGGAGACCACCGGGGCTGGGTGGCCTCCTCAGGAGAAACCAGCAGTCAATACACAGCAGGGGCTGCACACATTTCCACAAACAATAAATCACTCTGGAAGAAGGAAGCTTTATCTTATCTGTGTTTCTGGTAACTACATCTTTATGGTTGAACACAAGGAGCCTTTTGACATGAGTACAATTTTATTTTTGCACAATTAACTTATAACAGTACTACAATACTCCATATATATTTAATAACCCAATTTTATCTCAGAAAGAATACTTCCTGACTGTCTTGTAAACCTACACTTTCATTTGGGCTGTTCATTTATAGAGAAAATTGGACTTGTCAGATTGTATGGCAATTGTGATTAGAATTTGGAAAATATTTGTCTTTGAGCTATTTGTGTCACTTAGATGGTGACAGACTTAATATCTGAGAGTCCTCTGTGATTCACTGTTGTTTTGGGTGGGTGCTTCAGACCGGCAGTGGCAGTGGGTGCACTCCTCTCCCCGCTAACATGTGGTTTAATCACCAAAGTGATGATGTCTTTTATAGATGGAGAAATAACCCTGGCTGACTCATTGTAACACCAGACTGGTGTGTGACAGTAGCAAGGCACATGGGGAGAAATTCCCCTTAAAAACATAGGATAAAGCATATTTGTCATCACATATTCAATTTCTGTTTTGGTCTGGTCAGTAGTGATGAAAGCGTATGCAAAATGTGCCTGTGGTTGAGTGTTGTGAAAGTGAAATAGCTGTGGTTTGTGATGCTATGACTCACAGGGTTCACTTCACCATGATGTGTTTTTGCTCCTCTCACTGGAAAAAATATGTCAGGTTTAGATTATTGACTTTAGAAGCCAGTGATGTTATCCCCATCTGAACATGCCAAACAGAGTGCATGCAGGCAATAACAGACGAGTGTGTGAACAGGCTGTGGTGGTCCGTCCAAAGTGACTCCCTGACAGTTATATGGTGTCTGAGACTGCTCACTCTGCCACCCACTGTGATCCTGCCTATCGCTGCTTTTCTGTCAGTGACCCAATCTCACCCCGCTGCTTTCACCTCATTATGCACAGAGGTGTGGCAAGTGCCAGGATTACTCATTTATTTTGTGGGGTTGTCGTGTTATTTGGGAATTCCTTGATTTGTCTCATTTGCGGATTCAATTGTTGATGTGTTTCCTTTGGTAACTTCCTGATTACACCGTGACTCAAGTTGGTAGTTGACAGCAACAAACACAAACACTTTGTAGCTCCACAGCATTCAGAATGTATGCGTTGCTGTCACATCCTGTCTGTCTATCTGCACGTGTGCCAGACTGTTGTTTTGAAGGAGAATCACTGAAATCCTGATCGTGCTTTTATGGTCAAAAAGTCTTGTTTTGCTTTGATTTATCTTTTTGGGGAGTAAGGGATGTGATCTGATACAGCTCTAATACTTTCCTATTATTCACACATTGTTGGTGTCCAGGTCGTTTTGGACAGGTACGTCCTTGTTTTTTGTGCATTCTTGACATTTTTTTTACTCCCAACGTCCTTGGTTGGGAGAGTTTCTTTGCTCAGATATTTTGCGAGTTCTCCTCCCTTTTCCGCACAACAGTTCTGGTGTTAAAGCCAGTTATTTCCAAGGTTCTCTGTACTTTTCCTTCCTCCTGTGAAACAACGGGATTTTCCAGGAAACGTCAGATGGAGAGGGTGTGATTCCCTGCCGCTGGTCGTCGCTTTTACCAGTAAACAGCATGACTCACTGCTCAGCTATGCTCTCCATTTCCTTCACATAATATCCCACCAAATGTGCTGCGCTGGAGAAAGAGCAGAGAGCAGAGCGCAGCAGTCTGTGGAGAAATCTCCCCTCCTCCCTGAGAAAAATGCAAGAGCTTTCTCAGAGGAGTGTATCAGACTGTCAAGGGCAACAACATGTCTGCTTTCTGCTTAACCTGCTCCCTAGTTAAAACAAAAAGGGAAGATAAACAATGCGTCCAGACAAGCCAGCTCTGCATTTATCACTGCAGCATGAGCACACAAGTCTTTGATATGCTGTTTATTTTAGGAGGAGGCTGGGCCCCACAGTTACCTTCTGTCACTCAAGTGCAGTCTTGAACTTGACCAGATGCCTGACTTTGAAAACAGCATAAACAGAGCAAAAGTGGTAGAAAGGTCAATTATCTGACTCAAATGCAGACTCCGGTGTTTACGATACAATACTTAATCAATTTGCTTTGTAAGAGTTGTTTTCCTCTGACAAAAGGCAGATTTGTACCCATGTAAAGAATAGTTTTTGCCTAGTTCTATGTTTTTTTTAAATCTTGGCAACCCAAATAACAAAAACATCATCATGTGGAAAACACCATTTCCACATCAAATAACACACATCGTAACCAATACATGTGCGTATAGCCTTCGTAAGGAACACCTAGTTGAGTTGTGTCATCCCTTGGCGGCTTTATTCTGCATTGTTGTGGCACTTTTCCATAACTTACTGATGATGACATTAACTTGATGAGGACATTTGTGGTTATTAGTCATCAGAGGATTGCCTTCAGGAATGAAACATTGTCGGTTGTATGAGAACAAAAGAAAAAGAAAAATGGAAGATAGTGTGTGAGTGAAGCTGAGTCCTGACTTGCACGTGTGCACACTGATTTGTTCGGGCAAGTGAACGATGTGAGACGCTGGTGAATTCCAGACATTTTGTAAATTTCGCAGCCGTTGTTTTACAAGTGGGATAGTCTGAACTCCACCCCCGCTGTAGCCGAGTGCATCGCAGGACAGATTCAGACCCAAGGATCCTTCTTCAGTAAAGATATGCATGTGAGGGTTTGCACATGTGTGTTCACTCAGGAATGTGGTTTTTGTTCTCTACCCACCATCTGTTGCTTTTCTTTGAGGCATTTTCCCAGACTCCTTTTCTTACCCTTGTGAGAGTTGTTTTCTTGACTATATCAAGAAGCTGTGACTTGTTGTGATATATGCATGTCCTTTCTGAATGGCAACATTATAAACAGTGGATTTGGCTGCGTAATATAATTGCTGTTTTAAAGAAATGTTGGTTTCTCATGCCTTTTGAGTTGCAAAAACATCAGCACTAAAGAATTCCAGGGAAACAACCTGGCCTCTTGCTTGATGCTGGGGGCCTCTTGTGTGCAGAGAGGGGGGGGGGGCACATTACTTTTCCATGATCTTTGAAAGGGATATACCCAGGGACCCCTTCTGATGCAATACCACATAAGGCTGTTGTGGCCAACTTTCTGCCGAGGAATGTTGTATTGCAGTTCTTCATCTTTATCTGATGCTTTGGAAAAATCTCAATTATGCAATCTTTGCAAAAATGTATGAAGGACACCAGAGAGAGCAGCAGATGTTCCCCTTAATGTCTAAACACGAGTGTATGTGGCTCTGGGTTTTGCTGTTTGGTTTCCACATGTAGTCTCATCTGTTATTGAGGTTCATCTGCACGAGACAAAAACACTTTCTCTAGACAGATATGTAGAATATAAGCTATAAAAGTCTCATAAAAGAGTCAAAGAGCCGAAAAGTCCTGTATTAGCAATACACCCATATAGGATGTACAAATGTTATAAACATCCCAAAAAGAGCAGCCACACCCAGAGTACTTTCTCTCATGAAAGCTGCAGCCAACAGGACTGCAAAGGAATATTCGCCCTCTGAGGTTTCACCTATCGCATGCTCAGTTAATTTGTTTAGTTGGCAGAAATTTGTGTCAGCACTGAGGGCTAAATATATCCTGCCAGAGTTAAATAAGGGCATGGAGCGGCTCAGGAAAGCCCAGTGTAAGAGGATCCATCCAGCGAGACACAGGCCCAAATCCACAAACTGCATTGTCTCACATGCAGCAAAAATACATCAGTGACTATAAAGGAAAGTATTCCTCTGTGACACTCTATCTGCAGGAATGTTCCACATGCGTATCAACTACCCTGTGAAGATCAGCATAACTGTAAATGTTATGCTGACGTCAGTTTTAAAGTGCGACGAGGAGGCAGAGTTGCTGTAGACACCATATTAGGGGAATAAACAATCCGAATTACACTGGATTCCCCAGGATAAACAGATAGATAAACTGGAACTGTTTGTACAGTGGATGCCTTTGAAGTTGTCAGCACAAGTTAGTGCTTCTCATTTGTACTATGAATAGGCTGTGTTGTGGTTATGAATGAGACTTGTTTACCCTTTTGGTGACCATGTGACTCACACTCCCACGCCCATTTGCAGGGCGTTTCCATGGCAGCAGTCGAGCATGGAACAGTGCACTTGTAGTCAGGCTGGTCCGCAGGTCCTGAAATGGAGCCTGGGGGGAGGATGTGTGCCTCTCACAGGATCACAGCCCGGCGCTCTTTCACTTTTTTTGGCCACGAGAGCAGTCCGGAAAGCATGTGGCTCACTGTAATGAGTACAGAGAGGCTTTTCTTAAAAAACGGACAAAGCCCGGAGAGCTTCAGCACAGAGCAGGATGAGGAGAGAGGTTGCCTGTTTCTAATCTCTCTTGTTCTACTGAAAGACATTGTCAGGGCACTCCTCCCTCAACAAGTAAACACAGTCGCTTTGGTTTAATGGTGCCGTGCTGCCCTCTGCTGTCATCTGAGGCCCTAACATGCAAACATAATATTGACACATGACGTCATCCTAGGAATGTTGTTGTTAACTTTGAAAGAGCATGTGTAGGGCATGTGCCAAGTTGAACATCTACATATACAAATAAAATGTGTGGGACAGTAGCCAAAGTATTCAGATCTGTTACTTAGGTCGGAAGTATTAATAACTATCACTGATTCATAAAGATGTGAGTAGCTTTTATTGAGGCCTGCTTTTTGGGGTTTTCCTTTTCCTGTAGTGGTCGGCAAACGCTAAAACCCCAAAGTTCACATTGAAACTCCTCAATTGGACTCCTTTGTCTACTTCTGTAACATAATGACATCACTTATTAACACTTGCGTTTCTATTGGATAGCACTCCAACAAATTGTATGTGATAGGCTAAGGGGCGGGACATTTCCAAAACATCTCTAAGTTATTGACCAATCACAAGAGTGCCGGCAAGCTAACCAATCAGAGCAGACTGGCTTCTGGTTTCAGACAGAGGGTGAAAAGAGGTGCTGCAGCACAGGCAGTAGGAGAAGAATAAAGAGCTTTTTGAACATTAAAGCAAGTGAACGTGTCATAGTGGTGGCACTATGTGGCACTATGTGTAATATATTGTATTTGAACTTAAATTAACACTTTGTTTTTCTTTCCTCATAGTGTGTCTTCTGTGAGATTCTGGCCTGTTGTCCGCATGCAGGGAATGACGACTCAGTTTAAGGCGAGCAAAGCTTTAAAGGTAAGTGTTTGAGAAGTTTGAGAAATGTGGACCTGTTAAAAGCTCCGACCTGTTCTTCATCCAGTGCTCTATCCTGCAGGTCAAGAAGGAGGGTGAGAATGCCCCGGCGGTCAGCGACGACGAGTTGGTGGCCATGACGGTAAGGGAACTCAACCAGCACCTGCGTGGGCTCACCAAGGATGATGTAGCGAAGCTGAAGCAGCGGCGAAGGACCCTGAAGAACCGGGGCTACGCCGCCAGCTGTCGCATCAAACGCGTCAGTCAGAAGGAGCAGCTGGAGAGACAAAAGATAGATCTCCAGCACGAGGTGAACAAGCTCGCCCGCGAGAACACCAGCATGAAGTTGGAGCTTGATTCCTTGCGAGCCAAGTATGAGGCCCTGCAGTGTTTCGCCCGATCCGTGACCCGCGGGCCCCTCTTGCCCGGCAAGGTGCAGAACACCAGCGTCATCACCATCGTCAAGTCCGCCCACCGCAACAACTCCAGCCCCAACCCGTACTCCACCGTGTCCTAGTGTTGACAGGACTGGGCTCTTCTCCTCCTGCCTGGTCCTTTCCGGTTCTGACCCGGCCTGAACCCACTCGCCCTGCACTGAGAGGACGCTCAGTAGTTAGACTATGGGATGGAATGGGGTGGCAAAGCTTGATGTGATGTTATGCTGCAATCACAACTCTGTCTCTCTCTTTATGTCTCTTTTACACATTGTCTGTGCACTGTGCAACCCCCCCCCCCCCCCCCCGACCCCCCAGCACCGGCAGGGCCCCTGTGACCCTTCCTCCATGACTGTAAGCAGAGATTTTTCTTTTTACTCCAGTGTGGAAAAGTATTTGACATGCCTTAATGTGGCGGCAAAGGCCCTGCTCTTATATTATGAACCATAACACTTGAGACAGTTTATGTGACAGAAAGCTATTTGCAAAGCCAATGCCAAATCATATTACCTTAATGTGGAAGTGCCTCAATGTAAAATGAGCCTTTGAAGCCGTTGCCTTAAAAAGGACCCATAAGTGATCCTATACAATTATTATAGAGTTCTTACATGGATACTAACACAAAGAGGATTTGTCGATGTATCGCAAGCTAAACACTTTGTATTTTGCCCATGTCTATAATTCCTTATACAAATAATTATGTAATGCGTTATAATAAGCTTATAGCCCTGTACAATTATAGTTAAAAGCACTTATTCAAAATGCTTCATAACTTCATAATTGCTGGTCACTTATTAGTTTTTTTTGCAAGACCATGTCAATTATGAATTACAATATTTGTATCATGCCTTGTGATAATACTTCATATAGTATATGATTATAATGCATTATTGCACTTATAATACCCTATGAACATTGTCAAAAACAGTGAGTGACTAGTAGTTATAAAGTTATATGATACCTGACCTCCTAAGTCATTATAGTCATATGCAGTTTCATAAAGGCCTCTACTCGTGATGCGCTATTGTTCATATTTCGGTCTTGGTTATACAAAGTATTACACATTTTTACTTGGTGGTCAATACCCTCTATAGTATGTGAGACATCAGCAGTAGGTACACTACAGTAAAGACTTTCATACTAGTGCTGACAGTGGTCTAACTTTGGAGTTTTGATGTAACACTTTTCATTTGTGTTTGAAACTTTCGTAAGGCCAGAATTTATATGTAAGCCTTTGCTGGATGAAATTGACTCCTTTTGTTACATGTTTTTTTAAAAGACCAGTGTTTCTTACTGTTTCTCCTATAGCCCACTGGAAAGATTAATAAATCACATCCACAGGGTGTCTACATCAGGTATAAACAATAAGCTTCTAAAGAGGCAAATCTGATGCACCTTGAGTTTGCTGTCATTGAAGCTCATCCATGGAACACTTGACGTGCTGGCAGTTTGGTTTAGAAATTATTTCGATTTGTATGAGGGCCTGAGATGAGGTGTGTATGGCTAGGGTGTTTTATGTAGGTGCTGGGCGTGATTCTATTGGTATATTGTGACCATACCACTGGAGAATTTAAAGAACTGAATACTTATTTCCCCCAAATTGGAATTTATTTATGATTATGCAGTTACGTGATTGTTTGGATTAGAAATGTCATCCAATTTCCATCATTATTTAGCACTTAAAACTATTAAGATGCAGTATAAACAAATCACAGGGCAACTGACTCCTAGAGTTGGAGTTGAAAGAAAAAAGATTGAGTTAGTTGGTAGGAGATTAAATATGTGACCATTTACTGCCAGTCACGCCTTATTGAACTATTGGCTCTCTGAGATGTATGCCACAGCACTTACTGGGTGATGGTTGGCCTCTTCCCTTTACATGAAACTCTTTGGTATGTTATCCATATTAGATGTAGTGAACATGAGAGTGGTCCCTTCAAGTGAAACGCAATTCAATTGACTTCCTTTATGTTACAGACTACCAAAAGCTCCCACTGCCTTCTTTGTCACTTAACATCGAGATCTCCGTCCAAATAGAAATCATTCCTACTGCTGGTGTTGATATCTCTGAAGTCCTAGCTATTAACCTTGCTTTTGACACACTCTTCTGCAAGAGAACTCCTGACGCCCATCTCTAGAAACAGAGGTGTCATGACAACTAAATGCAGTAACACCTTCCTTCTGTTGTAATTGTTTAAAATATTTAAGTATGAAATTCACTTGAATTAAAGCCGTCCTTACCAATAATCCATTCCTAAGTTGGAGTGAAGTCCATAGAGATTGTTCACGTCAGGATTTTCTCTTTGCCAAGAGGACATGACCGTTTTTCCCTGTTCCAGCTGCAAAGAACATAAAGGGGAACTTTGCTGCTGTACAACCTGCTGTGATTTCTAAGCAGGGGCAATGCTGTGCTCTTACTATTTTTGTATTTTCACTTGATTTCTATTTTAATACATCCTATGTTCTTTTTCTGATACTTAGTTTATATGCATATACAGTATATATGAAAATATATATATTACATATTTTTCTATATTTATGTATTTTACTATCCTGGGAGTGGTGTGATTATGAAATCTTTCTTAAGACGTCAAATTATTTTGATGCTGACTGTCTTCGGCCACATTTACAATGAGATAACTATTTTAATAACTTCAAGTCTTCTTTGTGAGTTTTTATACCACATAATTACGTCTTGTCAGCACATTTTTTCATTTGTCTCATTCTGAAATTGGACAGACCGTGACTAGGGTTACATACAGGCTGCTGCTTTGACCTTTTTGAATATGTTCTATTGTTATGAACAATTCAAAATGTAAGAGCTAGGTTGGAACTCAAACTAGCTTAACAAAATGTACCATACATTTATTTTAGCGAATCAATTTTCTTTAACGTAGTACACAATTCAACAATCATTGGTCTGATGTGATCAGATACATTTTCTTTTTTATAAATGATGACAATTTATTCAATTTGGGCCTTTCAGGGTCCATTAGTTTAAGAATAAATGAGAATAATTTATTAAGTAAAAATAAAATGTGCTCTTATTTTGAGTATTAACCTGGATGTAAACCTAGTCAGTCGTTCTGGCCGCAAAGACGATAAACTTTTCTAAAGACATTTTGTCAACAGTTTAAAATAATGATGGTGGTAAAGATTTTGTAGTCTTGATGAAACCTTACTGAAAATGAATTCTAAAGCTGCTAGAGACTGTTCACCCAGACTTTTTCAAGAATTATATTTGAGTTGAGGTTGCAAAAGGTTTCACCGTGTTTATATAACACAGCTTGAAGATTTTTCACACTTTTTACAGTGGCCTCTTGTGGTAAAGTTTAGAATACAGTGCTGTAAAATGATGCATTGTTTAATTTGAGCACATATCACTGTATTTTGATCTGAAGTAGTTGCTTTTAGGCAGCACACCCTAAAGCAATGCTCAGCTATTCTTCAAAGTAATGTTATATTTACGTACCGTGCCATAATAAGACAAACCTCTATCCGGGTGAATTAAGTACTTAATGTTTATCTTACATCCAGTGTGACCCAGCAGAGGTCCATTCAACCTTTGGGTATTTTACCACACCAAATATTCTCCAGATATAATAATTGACATGTTCAACAAGCCCCTTTTTTCCCGCTTAAATAAAAGAAGACGTGCAAATAATTGTAGAAGTTTCTGGGAGAAAAGAGGTATAAGCGTTACCTACCGTGGGTGTTTCTTTCTTTGTACAGTTGAAGAGATGGCAGCTTGTTATACAGTACCTAGGAGCTGTTTAAGACATTGTTGGTTATTTTAAATTTGTATATGAACTATAGCAATGCATATGTATGTATGGAAATGAGGTGTCTTGTATATTGTTAATTTGGTGTTCAAGTTTTAAATGCATTTCCATGAAAACACATGTCCTTGATTACATAAACTGCCACAAACAAGCTTTTGCCAGTCCTACAAGCTACAGTATTTAATTTTAGACATGTAGAAAGTCAGTTTTAGTATTGTAGAGGTTTTGAGTATAAATTCAGAAAAAGCTCAAGGAATGGATAATAGGGTTGTGGGTTAAATGTTAATTCAACGGCAGCAATTCTACGTTACGTTTTTTACTTTTTAATGGATTTCCTTGTTCTAATCTCATAGCATCATGTTGAAGCTAAAACAAAGACAGAAATATAAAAGGCAGCATAAACTGAGTATGTACCCATCACACCTTTTCACTAGTCTGCTCATATACAGTATTTTATATTTATTTCATTGAATTGTGTAATTTTATTAAAAAGAACACCTAAATTATTTTTATTTTAACATTCATTTATTAATGTTTTCTCGATGAACTACCCTCATGTACAAATAAAGTCTGTATTTGTTTCTGCTCTGATTTAAAGTATTGTAAATTATTCCTATAAATAAGTCTGCCGTGTCGGTTTGTTGTACCTTGAAATAAAGCTTTTTCCTCGTAAAGAAGTGCAGATCAACCAAGTTACACAATAAATGTGTTAAATTCTGTACGTGTGCCACAAAAGGACTAAGACACACAAGTCAACTATTTATCTTGTCAAATGTGTACCCGCCTGTAAATTAATTCCTGCTTTCCCAGAAAGACGGCTATACTTGGCACACAAGGTATGGAAAACAAAACTATGACTGATGTAAAAAATTGGTCTCCAATAAGTTATGTACTTAGAAAGCTATGTCCCCCATGTGGTGTGGACACAGATGACAGCATTTCAATCAGGAGAGACAGTTTTGATGTAAGAATACATATTTATTGCAGAGACACACAAATGAATGTAATGGTGATTTTGGCGATTAGGCCCCGTTGTGCAGGAAGTATCATTCGGGAGGGTAGAACCGAACCGATCCGATGAAACCCCCCTGGGGTCTAGACACTGGTAGTGGTGAATGGATAGTTGGGTTCGGTCTGAAGAGGAGTGGTTTAGCTTGACCCTGGATTCAGAGGGACAGGAGGTGAAAAAGGGTGGAGGAGGGTTGCGTAGAGTCACCTGAAATGACAGCTGTCAGAGGGGAGAGCAGACTTAAAAGGTTTGGCAGAGCGCTATGATAGACTCTTGGGAATAGAGCGAAGTGATTGGTTAAGCTGGAGAGTGACGCCCCCGATCACTTATTGAGAGGAGAGAGTAGTTACATGGGAATAGTAAATGAAGAGTAAAGACGGTCTTCCTGGTTGAACTTACGCTGAGCTTCATTGTTAAAAAGGAAAACAAAAGTTGAAGAATAAACTACAACAAATTTTTAAAGCAAAGAGAATTGGGTTTGGCCTGACTACGCCTGAACTACACACTTTAAATACGTTAAAATCTTCCCCAATTAAAATCCAAACAAGTTTTGTTTCTTACACAAATAGAACACAACTACCATAATTTACAGCAATTAAATTCTGGCCACATTTCAAAATCTCTGAAACATGATTAGTTATGTGAACACGTCAAACATAAAAAAAAGCATTGTACAATAGCGCAGAATCTGCAAAACAACTGATTGCTAGCGTCTGTTGAACGGCTGTCTAGTTGCACTGAATTAAACTCTTTAGCATGCTGGGAAAATGAATGAGAAGAATACAACTCCCACTTTGTAGGAGACAGGTTTATCCAATTTGTCCATGCTACGGTAGATACAAAGGATCGCAAAGTGTCTTAGTCTGCAGTTTGAAGTGCCTGCTCCAAAACTAATGTGTCGGCGAACAAATCTTTCCATTTGTCAGGAAAGCATGCAGGAGGATGCTCAGTAAATACTTCAAACAAGCAGATGCGAGAGACGGTCCATAAAGTGTCATTCCCAGCCATGGCTGCCTCCCTCCTGCAGTCACATATTAATCATCCCCTCTTTGAAAGTGACATGAACCAGAGGGAGCGCCTTTCAGACGGCCACAGAGCCAGCACTGACATAATGAAGGAAACAGAATCAGAGGCACTGCTCAGCATCCAGCAGCTTGATTTAAGGGAATTGCATTGCTCCAGATGTCTCCGATATGGTGAGGGTGACATGTCACTGTCCTGTGATTATTACTGTTCAGATGGAGACAGCTCAGTGTCCCTGGTCATTGAGCCATCACTTATAAAAACTATTAATTTCTTCCTCTTGGTGCTTAAATGATTAATTAACATCAGGACAGAAGCAATGCGTCCATCTCAAATAATGGGATGATGAAAATGAAACACCTGGATTGTATCCAGTTCTATGCATTTATGGGATACAGTTTCCCCCAGGGTGTTAACGATAAGGCAGCAAGGACACAAACAACTCGATCATGCTGGAAAGATGGCTAGAACTCGTCATCAGAGGTAATCAGCATGATTTTGTCTGACTTGCGGGTGCTCTTGTTGCCTGCGGCCACTTTTCCATTGGCGCTGGGCTGGACCACCTCCTGTGTGGACTGCTGGGTATACTGCTGGTAGGCTGGGGAGAAGTTGTGGATCGCGTCCTGCACCATGTCTCCTGGGTTCATGGTCTCCTTCAGACCGCTGGAGATGCTGTGCATGGGTGGGTGGTTTTCTGCTATTGGATCAAGGACATAGGGAGATAAATTATTAGACAATAATGAACACGTAAAAGCAGTAATTTGAGGGTGACTTCCTGGAGTCTCTTCTAGTTGTGTTGCAATTGCTTCCAGCCGAGAAATCGACTAGCATTTTAAAACACATTGGAAAGGATAAGGGAAGTTAACCCGACAAGCTAATTTCAAAAGCATTAATTTGATCAAAAATAATTGCCTACTAGTTCCTAATTTGATTGTGGACCACTTGATTTATGGTAGTCTTGCTAACGCAGGTGAAAAGAGAATTACTAATTTCTAACTCGGCAGTGGAGACAATTCCATTAAAATTAATCTGAATACAAATAAGAGGGTGTGGTGTTGTGATTTCTTGAAGACTAAAAAGCTAGCTATGAAAGAAATGCTGACATTTTGTGGCATCTCATTGGTCTCATTTTATGTGAAAGAGTACATAAGCTTTAGTTTTTTGTTCATTCTATAGTCAAAAGAGTTCCCAGGGCCCAGGGTGTAATCTTCATGTTGCTCTTTTAGAATCAACGTACTATTCAAATACAACTGAAATGCAGCAAAAAAGGTTCTATATTTTTGATAGGATTAAATCGCTAATCACATGCTAAATTAATTTGCCAATCAATTATGCCTACCTATTGAATTGGTAGGATAAACCACATCTGTGAAACGTAAGAGCAGTATTTTTGTCAATATTGAGTAAAAAGAAAATACAAGAAATAGGCAGAATATATTTCTTTCATCACGGCTTTTCCAAAGGCTTCAGACTAGAAACACATTTCACGGCCACCCTTCCACTGATGGTCCCTTAGCACCCAGCTGTGAGCCAGGTGGAGTTTATCTCACAACTAAAAGGGTTTTCAAGGAAAAAAAAAAAATCAAGGCAGAGATCCACAGTCTTCTGTTTCAGGGTCACTGGCAGTGCCGTGTGGATCGGCTTACGGATGTGGCAAAGAGGAGGGTGAAGATTGGGTAGGAGGGGAGGGGGCTCTACAAGGCAATTAGAAAAGGTCTGCTGAGTCTCTCCTTACTGCAGCATACTACACAACACTGAGGGAGATGAATCGCAGACCAGAGGAGTGGCAGTCACACACGTCAACACTGGGTGTGCACCAGCATAACTACATTGTTTGGAGACTTATGGCGCATTTCCACTGCAGCGGGTAGCCCCGTTTAAGCATCCTTAAAATCGTCCTCAAGCGGCCAGGCCAGTTTTTGGTGGCCTTTCCATATAGCGTGGCACCGGCTAGCGGGTACTTTTCCCCTCTTTTCCCGGCCCCATAAAATCGTGGTTCTATCAGGCCAGGGCCAGGGCTGAACTAGTGACGTCAACACTCTCGACTGCTGATTGGTCAGAGAGAATCGTCACAAGATCGCGCGCGAGATCATCCCTAGCGTCGCATATCTAGAAGCAAGCTTGCAGCATTTTTATACACAGCATTTTTGTAAACGGAGGAGCTACAAAAATGGCAACGTCAAAGAAAAGCACACCGTGGTCGACCGAGGAGGTGACGACGTTCCTACATCTCATTGGGGATGATAAAATCCAGCAGGAGCTCGACGGAACAACTCGAAATGTGAACAAAAACAAAGCCGATCGCCCCGCCTACACTGCGTTGCTACCCCAGGTCCTAAACTGTAATGGAAATGCGCCACGGCCTCGGACGGCCAGCGAGGACGCTTAGGGACGATTAAACGGGGCTACCCCGCTGCAGTGGAAATGTGCCATTAGTGATGTGAATCACATAGGAACTGACAGGCTGGTGTAAAAACATACGTTATATTCAGCTGTCAAATACTTAAGAGGAATATTGGGTTTCTTTCCATATTGGAAGGAATAACAGGTATAGGATGAAAAAGAAACATTTTATTGTATTACCTTCTGCGAGTTAAAAATAAAAAAATGGTAATATCAAATGGATGCAGTAATTTTTCAATTTTATCACCACCTCCAGCATTTCTGAATGATCAGCAGCTCACGGGAACAGAGGGTTTCCTACAGTATAGCAGAAAAAAAATTGGCAAAATGATTGATATCGCTGCGGAAGGCTTTTCACATGGCTCCCATTTGTCTTTGAGTTGAAAGCAGCGCTGACGTCAAAGAGGTGCTGCTCGCTCGCTGATAGTTACTGTTCTGTATTCCTCTTCATCTTCCTCTACATTGTTTTACTATCAACTGCTGTCTGAGCCACCTGTTACGATGTGTGCCGATGAAAGCGCCCGCTCACTGCCAGCCTGACTGCACTGCTGATCAGCATGTCATTTCATTCAGAAGAAAAAAAGTTAAAAAGGTGTACATATAGACATTGCAGCTGTGCATGTGTTAAAAAGGCAGATTGAATATGGAATCTAACTTTAAAAGTGTGACTGAACTAAATGGCTGAAAAAGGCACATCGTTTATTGTTGATAACACATGCATGTCCGGTTGTGTCTTTTCTCTGAGGGGGAGAAGGGACATGTCAACATATATTTTCTTGTTTTTATATTTGTTTGGCAACCAGTAACTTTATTGTAGAGACAGAATTGAAAGGGTTTCGGCCTGATTACGCCTGAACTACACATTAAATACTTTAAAATCTTCCCAAATTAAAATCCAAACAGGTTCTCTTTTACACAAATAGAACACAAACACCACAATGTACAGCAATTACATTCTGGCCATATTTCATACTCTGGGGAGGACATGAGCAGCTCACCTGGCACTTCATTCTTTTTCTCCTGGTACACGGTGCAGGTGAAGGCATATTTGAGGGCAATGGCAGCAAAGAACATCTCAATGCAGATGATGAAGTTCTGCCATCCTGCTGCCACGGTGCCCGCGCCGACCTCATGTCCATCGATGAAGAGAGCGTTGGGAATGACCCCCCAGCGCTCCAGGATGGCGAGGACCATTCCTACAAAGCAGCAACACTTTCATCAGCAATTTATACTTTTTATGTT